TACTACTACTACTACTACTACTACTACTACTACTACTACTACTACTAATAATAATAATAATAATAATAATAATAATTAAAAATAACAACAAAATTGAAACAGTTCTGTAATGCCATCATAGATAGAATAAAGGCAGAAGGCAGTTTCATCTGGAGAGTGTTTCAGTTTTTTATATGCTTAAAAAAAAGTTGAATGCTATATATTTCAAATATTAGAATGAAGTTCCAGGCTGTAATAAGCAAAATGTGCAGAAACCATGTTCTGCGATAGTTTGGTATGTGGGCGCATTAGTGCTGTGGCTGTGACTTGTATCATTAATATACAGGTGTATTAATGGCACCGGTGTACAGTACTGTGATCTTTACAGAAATACAGTACATGCTTCTGTCAAGGCAACAGTAGGTGGTCCATTGTTGTTTTAACAAGATAATGTCAGACGTTTCTGCACGTTCAAAAAACCATAAGCTGCTAAACTGCAGAAGTTTTCATATGCAGACAGATTTCTGCTGCAACACTGCAATTATAGTTAGAATATTTCCAAATTGTGTAAATGAAAAATGTCTTAACAGAGCTCTAAACATACCTTTGTCCCATCTTTTAGATGATGTCTTATTGCCATACATTCTGCATTTGTTTTTATATTAAAACAGTGAAGGACCCCTCAGACACATGTATTGTCATTCAGTCTTTTGCACATGCATTAGTGTCCAATAATTATCTGCAATCCTGGTTTCTGTTTAAGACAGATAAGTCAATTAGTGTTTATTATCCCAGAACACACACCCATCCTGTGTGCTGACAGAAGGAGAAAAATAAATGTGTGTGTGGGTTCAGTTTAAATACTGTTTCCAGAGGCTGATTGTCACAGCATGGTTAATGTAATCATTTATCACCTACTTATATAAACTAGCCAAAATCTCAAGTGTGAGTGTTTTTTCTTTAGATCTAATATGCCTGAAAAAATATCCAAGAGAAAGCATAGTTATAGGAAAATTAACAATACTGTAATGAAGGAGTCCTTACATTTTACTGAACTGTATCCACACAGTGCAGTGGTTTACAATATCAGTGACCAACTCAATATTTTATCATACTTTTCAGGTTTTTTTTTTTAAATAGGAAATTGATAAAAGTGTGTAATGATGAACAATTGTCAGCTAACTTTAATGAAACAATGTCAAATTTACCAGACCCTAAAATTTACCTTTCAGTGCATTATAAATTTAATTGGCAAATAGAAAAATTTACTTTTAGAGATAAAATATGGATAATTTGATGTGTGGAACTTTCAATTAAGTGTGTGGAAATGTAAGAATGTAAAAACTTTACTGCTTCCAACACAGCAACAAAAACAAGAATAGGTTTGTTTCATATGTTCATTAATACTGTCTCAGCTATGATTTAGTGCAACTACAATTTATGTGTGCACATTCATATCCATGTACAATACATGTATATAATAATTTGCTTTTTGACTTCAGAACTATGCAGTACTTTTACTTGCAATGCAGCATTTTTACAATAATTGTACTTGTCAAACAATCTCTACCAGTTTAATATTTTCTGCCACATATAAACTCGTGTTATTGCTCCAGTATATCTATAGGAATGTTACAGTTATATTAGAGCAATTTTTCACGAGTAGTGGTGAGCTATTCTGAAAAGGAGCAAGCCTTGTATGAGCCTAAGCAAGCTCAGAGTACATTTTATATTTAAGATTTAGGTTTAGGACTATTTCACAGTGCTGCTGGAAACCAGGATGTTCCTGTACATCAACCGTGTACTGTATACAACCACAAAACCATCTAATTTCTTGACTTTAAAAGAAGCACAAACAGAGCACTGAATTGTTTTCTACATACTTATATTCATGCATTCTTTATCTAAGTTTTAGGCTTTTTCCATAGAATGTCATATTTATATTTAAAAATGTAAAGAAGTATTTGCTGTCCAAATATTCTGTTTTATCATTGAACGTAACATGGGGAAAATCAGCCCTAAACAGGTCTAATGTGATTTATATAACTTCAGAAAGGCAAAATCCATGCTTTGTTAGTGGCAGTGGGGCATTATGATAGCTGGGTGCAGTAAGGACAGCTTGTGATCTCTTGTGTCAGCAGCCGTGGAGGAAAAAAAAAAAGTGAATGTTAGAGACAGATGGAAAGAACAAGCAGGAGACTGCAGGCAGGCTCTGGAGAAACTCAGCTTTATTGACCAAAGATAGAGCAGTTACAGAAGTCAGAGTAGAGAGAAGGGGAGAGAGGATGTGACAGAGTGAGGGTGAGGTACTCAGACAGGTGTGAACAATAGAAAATGACTCATTTTTATTTATTTGTTTCAACAGTCCATAAAATTGTGAGTTCAGGCAGAGATGGAAACAGCGACCCCTACAGAATCAGAGGTGTACTGCAGGCCTGGCAGTAGGGCTGGTCAACTCAACAAGTCTGGTCTTCATATTCTTGCATTACACTCAAAATATACACACAAACCTCAAATTGGAAACTGGATATGCCATTGTCTACTCCCAAACTTTTCAGATTTTTGAGACTGTGACCATATGTTTTTCTCTGGCTTGTTTTGTGCGCATTAACCCGTTAGAGAAAACAAGCTAAACTGTCCAGAATGCAAACTTTTGTGTAATTTCTACATGCTTAGAATATTTCAAGTATGATCCCCCCCCCCCCCCCCCCATCTAGGTAAAAAAAACACACAAAAAAAACAAAAACAGGATGTTGTTTTTATCATCAGACTACATAGCTGTACAGTGTGTTGAAAATAAAACCAATGATCTCAAGAGCTTTTTAGAGCAACAGTGGGAACTAAAGGGTGAGACAATTCATAATTGTTATGAGAGGTTAATTGTGAGATCACACACAGCAAAGCGGTGGGGTGAGAGTGAAAATGTGAATATCTTGTTTGTGCGCTCACACACTTTATGGCTTTATGCCATTGTTGAACATGTCTAGTGGTCTAAATAACTATATATATATATATATATATATATATAAGTGAAAAATAATTTGATCATTACGTAAAATATAGATGATATTCACATTTTTTTTATCTACACAGAAAACCATATACAGATGTTCCTGCTCATTGACAAATCATAAAGCCCACTGGATTAACTAATGGTTGCAGTGACCAATCCGACTAAACCATGTACTGTATTATTAAAAGCTATAGTATAGTCATATTTGAAGAAATTTATGTTCAATAATTGAATTATCAATAGCTAATACCTTATCAGCTATGACACCAGTCAAGGAACACGATGTATGGAGAACAGGGCAAAAGTCTTTGTCCAGGCAAGGCTAATACTAGCTACAGTTATTTTTTTAAAATTTTATTGCCAGGAGGGGCCTAAACTTTTAGTCTGTCTAGATGCACTGACGAAGCAAACGGATACATTTGCAGCCTTAGCACCATCTGCATAAACACGGTCTATTTTATTGGTCTGCTCAGCATTTTTAGCGCGATGAGTACAGTGTCTGTGGAGTGTCCTTGAACACGCTCACCGCCCTTGTTGACTCCCCTCCCCTGCAGAATGTCTACATCATTATGTGCTTATGAACGGGGTGTTTTTTTCAATTTCAGACTATCTTTCCTCGGCCAAGGAATGAGAGTATGTTACGATTTTATATTTTATTGCCTCCAAATACTTGTCATTTTCATTACTTTTTTGTTTGTTCAAACATATCTCACTTGCAAATGAGTCTTTGAAGTTCAATGTGATTTATCTGTATAAATAAAGGTTGAATGAATTAATGATTTATTTATTGACCTTTTTTTAATTGGGCAAATCCCATTAAGATCACAGATCTTTTTTGCAAGGGAGGCCTGAGCCTGAAGGTAACCTAGAATACATGTTTTTGAATTCTGGGAGGAAACCAGAGTACCTGGGGAAACCCCACGCAAACACAAGGAGTACATTCAAACTCCACAGAGAAATACCCCCGTCCCGCCCGGGGATTGAACCTAGAACCTTCTTTCTGTGAGGCAACACTGTTAACCACTAATCCATCATGCTGCCAAAATATATAAAAATGCAAATCAAAATATTTGTGTTGTAAAATGGACATTCTTCTGTTGAGAAAACTGCAACAAACTAAACGGTGCCGAGCAAAACTATTGAGGTTCATTATTTGTTTATCTTGTTTTTGAGAATGCATGGTTTTATAATCATGAAAAATTATAAAACATGGGTTCTTGTGTGGCTAGTTATTAGCTAAACCTGGACAAAGATAGTTGCCCCTTTCTCCACCCACTCGGCTCTTTCATTGACATCACTGCTGATTAAGGTACTAGCTATTGATAACTATTTGATAGAACGTCCCCTCAAAAGTGACTAGACTAACCCTTAAAAGTGATTTTCATTTTCTAAACCGAAGTTAGAGTTTGTAGTTTTGGACTTAGCCATAAAAAATAAAATAAAAAAAATCCATTTTCTATTTTGATTTATTAAAGCAGTGCAATGAATGCATCAGGAAAAATATCTAGAGCAGTTAGAGCTATGAAAATGGCCGTAGAACCTCTTAGCTCACTCTAATGCCACTAGTACAAGTTAGATGTGAGTCAGTGTTTTAGAGTTGTATTTGTATTAATTTGTATTCATGATTTAAATAAGTATTTTTTTATGTAAATTACTTATGTTTGGACCAAGACTGGAGCTGACTATAGCTGCACTTGATAAACACCTCTAAATTAGATAGTTTGAACCTCAGGAGCCTCTTTCACGTCCTTGTTAATGTTCCTCAATCAGAGCTTTACTGATCCAGCTCTAACAGCTGCTTGTTTTGTGGTTTTAGTAACTAACTCTTCACAAATCCTCTCGTAAAACTTGTTCTGAGTATCACCATTCTCTAGGTTCTCAGGAACACCAAATGAAACAAAGTCTTCCCAGATCACTCACATTTGGTCAACAGAGCAATGCTAATTGCTGTACAGCATATGTATGATGGCATCCAGTACGTCTTCATCAGTAGTATTCTTGTAAACGAGGGCCTGGGCAATGACTAAAGCAAGGGCTGGCAGTGTTTTCAGACTGTATATTTCAAAAATACAAGAAGAGGTTTCTGGTAAAGTTCTGCCACAATAAAGTAAAATTAAGAAATTAACTTATAGCATTTTCATAAAAACTTAACCCAAATTAAACTAGTTCTTGTTAAGCTTCATGTTTGACTCAGGTTTATAGCAACACATTGTTTCCAACAGTGTACAAATGTGTTCCCACGTCACAGAGAGCATTTGTAAAACTCCTGTTTTCATCCTGTGCTATTTAGCATTTAGACACACTGGAAAAATCTGGCTGTTTTGCTCTTACTTGCTGCCAAATGGTGATCTGGGGCTTCTGATTGGCTGCTAAGTTAGGAAGTACTAGAATAAGAGGAAATGACCTCATCAGTGGAATAGTTGGAGTGAATGGAAGAAACAGCAGTGAGACACGAGGAAGAAAGAATATAAAGTGAGTCAAAAACCCAGTTTCCCACAGAGACAACCGTCCCCACAACTTTTAACAAAAGACACATGGTCAGATAATAGCAACCTGAAATAAAATTCTTATATGTGTATAAATATTTAATTATGCCTACATTTTGTTAGCACTATCTGTGACGTAGAATGAACAGGCACATAAAGAAACCAAGGCAACAAATACCCACTTCTCTGTTCTTGACAAAGAACCTGCACAAGGAGTGGGTTGTTCAAGTTCATACATTTGCTTCTGTGACAGTTTTTGTGGGCATGCATCAAACAGAAGGCATGAGGTTTAAAAAGTGGCTCAACAAGTTCAATATAAATAAGAACTAAAGCTCAATTTGAATATTTTTAAACTGGCTCACCAGAGGATAGCCTGGTTGATTGTTAAAGCCAGCCGTGAGATTTAATCAAACAGTGAGAGTGACTGATTGTTCATAAAGCCAATAAGTTTTGTATAAGGTTTGAGCTTTTCTCCATCTTCATATTCATCAAACTACTGTTTCATTTCTCCATAATCTTAACAGCATGACAACTCATTTTATGTAAGTTTATGTAGATTTGAGGTTATGAAACATACCGTGCTGTCTGAGGGGACAGCAGATATAAAGGCAGAGAAAGTAAGAACAAAGGTGATGATGTGGCTGAGTGAAAAGTCAAATATAAGACGAGCAAGTGTAAGAGTCTAAGTATGAGTGTGTGCCACATCATTCAGTCATTCAGAGTCCAGAGGAAGCCAGAGCTTCTGTTAGTAACCATCCAGACACAGGAGAGGAAGGTGATAATAAAAGGTTGGAAGAGGGAGAAGATTCAGTCACATGAGGATGCAGCACTGGCAGCGTTTCCTCTTGTCTGTACCTGTGGCAGGGGTGAGGCCAGGTGGCAGGGCAGTGTTTGCGTCTGGATTTGCAGGGGGTGACGAAGCGCTGTCGGGCTCACGGCCATCCGATGACAGTTCTGTACTGATGGCTTCAGATGTGGCCGGCCGCCCCGACACAAGGTCAGCCGCGGTGCCATCAATGATGGAGATGTCGGTCACCGTCTTCTCCCTCAGAGATTTCTCATCATCCTCGTCAATGAGTACCACCTCGGCCTTCACGGCGCCGTCAAAGCCAAGAAGCCGTCTGCTGTCGCTCATGTCTTCCACGTCCTGGTAGCCGAGGAACACCATAGTAACTGGGTGCTCTATGCTAGCTTGGGATTGGGAAGCAAGCTCATTTCCTTGGTGGACTGAGGAGCTTGGTTGGGATGTGATGGGAGCAGAAGCGGGGGGCATCATGCCTAGGCGGGTCTCTCTCTGGAGGGTGACCTGTGCTGGTGGACTGGAAGGGATGGATGGTGGGGCACAGGAGGGTGGGGACATATCATCTGCTGGGGAAATGTTGGCCTGATGGGCAGCTGGGCTCACTGTTACCTGACCCTTTCCTTCATCTCCTCCTCGTACCATAGGCCTGGCAGCCCGTTGGACCAGTTGGTCAACCTGCGCAGAACTCCAGCCGTTCTCAACAGTGGTGGTGGAGACACCCCCAGAGGAAGTAACCTCATAGACCACTTTTCTGCCATCATCATAAACTTTGACTCCTCGTGACGCTACGTCCATCGGGTTCACGCGGTTGGCTGACAGGATCCGCTGCTCGCCAGTCTGTGGGTCGTGCTGCACGTTGATCTCCATGGCGAACATTGCTGTTAAGGAGGGAAAGCGAGGAGGAGCAGGGTGGACAGGGGGAAGGAGTGGGGTTTGAAGGAAGAGTTAGGGGGGAGTGAAAAGGGGTGATGGAAAGGAAAAAATTTAGGTGGTGAAACATGGGGACAGGAAACCATTGTTTTTGTAAATCAAAATGCTATTTGAACTTAAATCTGTTTTTTGTTTTTTTTATTCAAACTTGCATATGCAGTTAGTAAAACAAAACAATCATGCTTAGTGAGGGACATGTTTTGGCACATAAGGTAGTATTTTGCTGTGCTGCAACTGTTGGAGATTTGCTAGTGGCTCAGTATTGTGAAAAAAGGGCAGTTTTATCAGCGGCTTTGGATGTTATCAGTCCATTAAATGAACGTTATTAGTTGTTACCATCCCCATAGGTAGCGTTCAGAATGTTCCCTCCTACCTCCTAGTAAGTTTAAAGTTACGTTTTTATGGTTGATAATATGCATCGCGGCTCGCGTATAAAACTGGAAGTGCATTTTAGTTAGCTCTATCTAACCCTTTTCCTAAACCTAACCTTACAGATGACCAGAGCACTGACCCTAAACTTAACCCCCTTACCCTTGAGCCTTAACCTAGCCCTGGCCCTAAACCCAACCCCAAGACCCTTGACTTTTAGCCTAACCACATGCCAGTATTATCAGCAATAAGAATGTACCTTTAAAACCTACTAGGAGGTAGAGGAAGGCAGTCTGAATGCTGCGTATGGGGATGATAACAACTACTAATGGCCATTTAATGGATGATAACATCCAAAGCAGGTGGTTTTATTGAATCTTCAGTGTTTGTGACGAGCTAGCCATGTAACCAAAATTTGCATGCCCAATTTTAAATTTTCTTTTTGTGTGCACTGCTGTACATCAAGCACATCATTTCCTTGCCTACCTTCGCTCACATTGTATCCACCTCAACTAATTTCATATCTACCTTGGCAGTCTTCCACTCATTTATGATTCATTCTCCTGGTTTAAAAATTTTAAGTGAATATGGACAGATTGGGGACGGTTTTTCAATAATTACTTTTGTAATCACTGTGGTTTTTAGACCTGGACATGTTTTTTGTAAGGGAAGAGCTTCAAAATGAAGGTCTTGCACTCTTGAGACAAGCTGGACTGAACGCAACAAAACTGAGAAAGTTTCAAGGTATTTGCATCGGTTTTGTGAGAAAATTTGCTGCCCAGATTTTTTTTAAACATATTCAAACTGCTGCTCAAGCAAAGCAATTGAAAACCTCTGTTAGACATTCTGGAGACTCATGCTATTCACCAAATAGTCGACAGCAGTTGCAGCTCAGTATGATACCACCTAAAAACACAGTATGCCTAGAAGGTTTTCTTTTACTCTAAGAAATTGATGGCGTGTTTTGATACAAAATGTTGCTTTTGATGAGGTCAGTCAGAAATGCCTTTCCTCCTGGAAAAGTTCTCAAGATGCCAAACATTTCAAGACTACAATACTATTAATGTAAAACCAAGTGGTCTTAGCTCTTTGTGGTATATTAGTAAATTTACCTGTTGTACTCGTAATAAAATTTAGGAAGCACTAATCTGAACCTTGATACTTTTATGTTTTTGCAAGTTTGGATGCTTCTTAGGAAAACTCATCTGGAATTATTTCAAGTATTGAAGTACTTAATGCACTAATGAATTTGCACAAATGTGTGGATGTTTGCTTGTCTGCTCTTCATGGAAGATTATCCATGTCCACCAAGGCTTAGCCCCAAAATTTTCATGTCCTCTTTTACACCCCCCCCCCCCCCCCCCTCCTTCACTCTCCTGTCTAGATCTTACCAGGTCTTGACATGGTGTGCGCTCCAGAAAGTGGTGGACTGTCTTGCAATTGGGCAGCCAGGTCGAGGTGGTTGGGATCGGGGTCCATGAAGTCCGAGAGAGGCGCAGACCCTCGGCCAGTAACATCTAGTGAGCAGGAGCACAGGAGGGGAAAGGATTTGCGGTCAGTTGGATCAAGCTGCGAGGTGTGGGGGGTTGCACATACACACTAACTTCATCTGCATGGCGATGCACAACTGTGCGCACGGGGTACAAACACACACACACACACACACACACACGCGCTTAGTGATGAAGGCCACACCCTTAAACAAAAACAACAAAAAAACAGAACAAATACCAATACTCTGCCCAGCCTCCCACCAGGAAACTGGCCACACCTTTGTATGACCCTGACTGCTACAACAGTGTGTGTGTGTGTGTTTGCACATTTAACTATGTTTCAATGTCGACAGCAATGGTACCCGAGAGGTGCAGTGCTTATGCAGCAAGTATGTGTGTATGTCAAAGCTGGTGTATTTGCTTGTGCTGTATGTGTGTGTTTGTGTGCGATGACAGGAACAAAGCATTGGGGGCTTACAGGGCTTGTTTGTGAATAGCTGGGGGGATAAAGCCAGCGCCTGCAGGCTGCAGACTCATGGCCTTGTGTGAGTGAGCTTCAATAGTCTCGCTGAGCTTGGTTCTGTGTGTATGTGCGTGCGGTTTCATCCCTGTTGGAGTGCAGGTACATATGCGTGTCTATGTGAGTCTCCTGTGAGCATGAGTGTGTGTTGGTAGAGAGGGTTCAAGAGCGAGCTCTGGCTTGCATCTCTACTGGCTCAGCAAGATTCACCCTACACACACACACACACATGTGCATGCAGACCCATGAATTGACAGTAGAGTTCAAGTTTTGCTCTTTCAGTGTGTAATTATGACTGAAGGAGACCCAAACTGAACACAAGATCATTGGAAGTTTGGTTCTATGCAAAAGTTATGAAGAATTAATATTCCATCTTTTGTAGACGACGCTTTTGAATGACCAGTTTGGAGAAGTGAAGTTTAACTCTGAAATGATTAATGATTTAGTAGTTTATGAGTGACCAGGACCAAAATGGGTTACTGCTGCCTTTAAACAACTCCAATCTCAAAGATGTCATACAAATACCACTTAATAACCCCTTTCATCAATGTCAGATTAACATTAAGCAAATATTCACACAACATTTTATGGATATTTGCAGACAAATTGCAGCAGCAGCTAGTTGTAGTAATTATAGTGCACTCCGTGGCGCCCCCAGCAGGAATAGAATCACAATGTAATGCAAAACTAATCGTGTAAATGTTTATAAAACTGTGTTCACATGAATAGCTATGCTTTTTTTTATAGATTGGTGTCATTTTGTGCACTGTGGAGTGCATTTAATCCACTCTGGTCTTGGCCCTGCTTATACCGGTTGTTAGCTCGGCTATCAAGTCAGAATTCAACTCAATTTGGACAAGTTAATGTAATTTAAAGAGCTACATACAACAGTAAAAATTAATTTTCAAACATTTCTGATTTTAAAAGAACTGATTTATTATTTTAAGGCATAAAAACTATTTTGATCAAAGATGGTTTACCTCTTGAGAGGATTTGTGTGTGTTTGATCCTTGTGTCATCTGTCCTGCCCTCCTCAGTGTTTCTCCCTCATGTGATCAGCTCCTGCCTCTGCCACCTGTTGTCCTTCCCCAGGTGTTTGTTTTGTGTCTAAAGCCCTATTCGCACGGAATTAGTTTTACCTAGGGACCATGTGTAATAAATTACGCCCCAACGTCTGCTTTTTATGTGGCACATTCGCACGGGATAACCAAAGCCTGAGATGTAGCTGAAATTTACGTACATCTTCCGGCTATGATGATAACGCTCTGCGTTGTCATGACCAGGCCGGTCCATATAATGCGCTTAATGTGCGGACCGGGCCGGTCTCAGGCTTTGATGTGGTTTTACGAATTAGCATTAAAAAAACTAAAGAATTCACAATATAAAATTGTATTAATCTATTTGTTAAGGAGGAGCAAGGTCCGACCGGCCAGTTTAAGATGTAAAAAAACCCCACGTTAAGCTCAGATGGACAGCTGTTACCAGCCGCACTTCCGCTGAGCCACCGGTTGAAATGGACTTGCGACCTGTCCAGGGTGTCCCCCGCCTCTTGCACAGTGATGGCTTGACATGGGTACCAGTGACTCCCGCTACCCGAAAAGGAAAAAGCGGGTAAATATAATGGATGGATGGATGGGTCAGCTTATCACACGCCCGTCTCTGCACCTGCTGTCATCTGCGGTGAAGGAAGTAGCAGCATCTACCAAAGCGAGCAGCACGTTCATTTAAAATAGCCTTGTTCTATATTTTTCCAAATTATTTTGCTTAGAAAACTAAACCAGAAACTGCCTAATTACATATTGGATCTGGCCCATTTCTGTCCAAAATCACAGAGATGCCTATTCGCATTGGATTAGTATCACAGGACCTCGGAGTTCAGCAAAATATAGTAGGTAATTTACGGGGGAATTTTTACTTTACAAATTACTGACATGGCCGATTCACACGGGATTAATAACACATACAACCTCCGTAATTATTACAAATAGCATGTGGTCCCTAGGTAAAACTAATCACATGCGAATAGGGCTTAAGTCTGTGTCTGTATGTTCCCCGTGTCCACACATTGTCCTCCAAGACGTTTGGTTCTGTCTCCCTCCATATCACCTCGTTCCTCGCTCCCTCTGTGAGTATTGCTGCCTCATCAGCTTGTTATTTTTGTTAATAAATATTATTCTTATTTCACCCTGTGAATCCCCTGTGCTTCCCTGCACCATTGGGTTCACACACCGACACAATCCCAGCACCTCTACGTAGGCCTAGGTCAACACACGTCACTCACCCTGTGTTTGATCCCAGGATCAAGACGTACAATTCAAACAAGGTGTTATCAAAAAGATTATGGGACAATATAGAGCTTTTTAGGTTGGATGTTAGAATTTTGTGGCACAATGTCAATAGTTGTCCTCATGCTCAGCAACTGTTTTAGCTCTTGTCACTACTAGATACCTTAAGGAAGGTCCAGCTGAGATTTTATCAGTCTCAGGTTTGGTGTCTTCAATCAGTTTTTTTATTTTTTTTTTCATTTAAACTATTTTCAACAGCGAATAACTGAGGCATAAAACGATATTTGTGTTTAAATAGCAAGCCTTCAAAATTCAAAATCCAATAGATTTAGAGGGTTGTGCGCATGCACGTACTTGTGTGCGTTTCTCTGATACCTTCTTCCTGGATCATTAGACTCTGAAAAAGAGAGAAAATACAAAATTTAATTGAGTTACTGCAGACTCTAAATAAGTTACAACATGCTTTGTTCTGAGAGGAGCAACAATTGTGTCCAACTTATTTCTCAGTATCAGTGTGACTTCGCTAACCTATGTTGTGTTTCCATAATAAATGAGATGGTTTTATGATTTCATATAGCATTGCATATTCTGTATTGCTCAGCAAAGACGATAAATTCTGTTTTTAGTTGCCACCAGCAAAAGTTGTGAAACTACATTAGAGAGCTTTAAGGTTGTCCTAACATTTGTGTGAGAATGAACTGCACTACACCAGTGGTTAGAATACTTTGAGTAATAGCAGCCATTTTTCTAGTTTGCAAAATAAAAAAAATAAAAAAAGTTCTGGTATTACCTTTTGCAGATCTTCGATGGAGCGTTCCGTCTCTTTCAGACGCTCGCGAAGCACTTGCTCTTTAGCTGAAATTTGTGACTCTTCGCTTTCAAGCGCTCCAATTTCAGACTCCAACCTGCAAACACACACACACAAGAAAACACATCAGTTTGTGTTATTATGGGTAAAGGTTAAAGGGACAGAAAAATAAGACATATCTTGAACATTAAAATCTTTGCACACCCTTTATTATACCCTGCTACTGCCATATTTAGACTATTGTGTTGAAGTTTGGGGTAATACAAACAAAAGTTCTGTACAAAAAATATGCATAATGCAAAAAAGAACAATATGGATGGTACACAATATTTGGTATTGTGAACACACCAATCCACTTTTTTTCAAACCACAGCTTATGAAATTTATGGATTTGGTACAATTTTAAACTGCACAGGTGATGTTCAAAGCTAGAAATAATATGCTTCCAAAGAATATTTAAAAATTACTTAAGAATAGCGAGGGGAAGGTAGGAACTGAGAGGAAAATGTAATTTAAAGCATGCACATATTGGAATGGCTTAGGTAAAAATATTGCACAATTCAAGATAAAATATAAGGAGTACAAAATTAATGTGTATAAAACGAATGAGACAAAATTATGTTATTCCAACTGTTAATTTGTTAATCTGTGTGTTTGCATATTAATCTTTGATTTATAGGAGATAAGAGTAAATTTGTTTCTGCAGGCATCTTTATGTGTGTGTAGGTATGCATAGCTATGCATGCATGTCTGCAAGTATACTGTATGCTACAAGTACCCATGCATATTTATGTATTTATGTTTATATTGAATTCAGAATTTGCATAAATTTAAGGACAGGACTGGATAAGCCATTGCTTCTTCTTGCTCCCTTTTCAAACATTTTTGTTTTGTTTACAGAATATTTTGCCTATTGATTTGTTTTTTTGTTTGTTTTGTTGATATTTTAACGGTTAGAAATGAAATAAAGAAAAAGTAATTTCCCAACAATGATTCTGACATCCAGTCTTCAACTACAGTTTTTTCAATGACTTCTTATTGCTATCCTTACTCTTAATGTCAAAGTCTGCACTGTTTTCTGAAAAAGACCTTTCTTTCAGTTGCACCCTGAATAAAACGTCACTTTAAAGATCATGCTCGTGGACATTTAAGAGATGGCTGTAACAACAATACAAGGAAGCCGTCTGGGAGGAGGACCAGGGTTTGCTTCCTTGCTTCAGAATATTCCTCAGGGAAATGAGGTATTTGTGTGTCAGTGTTTGTGTGTGCATGAAAAGGTATTAAGGTTCATAACAATGCCTTCGACATGCAGACCTTGTGCGAGCTTTGCAATCTATGTCCATAAACAAGCTTTAATTTGAGAGAAATTCTACCCCGAACATTTAAAAAAACATGTCAGCAGACACCCTGAGGACTTTTTGGAGCACTGTGTTGATACTCATCTTCGTCTGTGTTGTGTTTGGATGTTTCGGGATGAAGCTGCATGAAAACTGCACAGTGGAAGTTTTAATTTTATAGCATTTAATTTCTATTTAAATGTTTTTTTTTTAAATAATTTCTGTTCATGCTCACAGAAAAGTGAACAAGCACCCCTCTGCATTTTAAATAAATGACCCATTCTTTCCATAAAGCATTGTTTGGATTCAAATGGTCACTTAACGTCGAGGTCAGTCCGCTTCGTTTGAAACGAGACGTTCAAGGGTTTGTGCATTGAAAAAACAGCAGTGGATCGTCCTTACAGAGAGAACATGAGAGTGATTATAAGCCTAAGATTCTTATCAGAGTTTAATTTAAAGCAGAGAAAACAGACTAAGGCTGATCCGGAATATTGTGTTGGAGAACCAAGGTAAATATCTGCTACATCAATTTATTTTTAACCTGTCTGATGGTGGAGTTAAGGAGGGATTTTTAAGTTATTTATAAATCCAGACATTTTCTATATTTAGCCTTGGCCACTACAACAATGTGTAATCAACCTCTTTTACGTACTTGTCAGATTTAAGCAGAGTTCATTTATTTAAACATTTTCACTGCTTGGGTTAATTTTACTTGGTGGAAAAAAAATCTGATATCTTAAATTATTTTATCAAGACAACTTGATGTAACAAATTTGCCATCTTATACAATATATAAAACTGATATGAAATCTAGATAATTTTTGAGATCATGGCTGTGCTGTGCCTTTACATCATGCAAAGACACACAAGTCTGCACAAAACAGACATTCTTTATATTTTCCAAATGACCTCACAGTTGATATTTTAGCCCAATAACATACAAACTGCTCAGATATTTTTATGAATAAGTTATTTTACTGTCACCTGAAGAAGGTCTTATCAAACCAGAGCAGACATCATCCCTCTGCAGCAACGCTTCCTATTCCAATTTTCTCGTTCTCCACCTATTTTTGGCAGGAAATTGATTTTGCTTCTATTTGTACCACGTGAGGTCTGGTCTAAATATTTTGGAAGCAGAATTGTTGGACCAGAGGGGCGTGCAGGTTGTAATGCAGGTTATAATGCTACAAAGTGTATATCCATGTTTGTGTTCATAATCTGCAAATAATTCTTGCATGAAAACTAATCAAATCAGCCATCATCAGCATATTACATAAACAAAAGACAAAACATTTAAATTAAAAACTAAAAATGTTTGAAACTTGCAAAGACGTGTCCACTTTAAATGAACTGGGTGAAGTCTTTTCAGTGAAATCAAAAATGTTTACTGGAAATTAGTGCATGTGTGCAGCACCCTCTACTGACCAAACATGACAAAAGCAGTGTGATTATACATCACAGGATTAGTTTTCAACCCTTGAAGTTAATGATGGTATGTTTCACACACTGTTAAAACTAATTTCATCCTCTCAAACTGGTTTTCTGGCAGTCAGAGAGTGTGTTGTGGATGACTCTCAGCTATAACTACTCCAGATTTGAACCCCATAGCTGTTAAACTGACTGTTTTAGTCATTTTTGCATTTGCTCAGACAAATTAGCTGTGGCAGACATCTTAAATCAGGTCGACTGCAAAAGTTGAGTGTTAAACATACAACCAATGCACATTTACTGAAAGTTGCATTAAAGTACAATTCATGAAATATTTTGCTAATAGACGAGCACGCACAGACAGAACATGACAATATCGCCTTCCTGTCATGGTGACAGGCGATGTAAGTCGTGGTATTCCAAAGCAAGCGTTAAGTTTATTAATAATAAATTATTATTTACATGAAATATTTTATATAAAATCAAATGCATGTAAAAACCCACCCCTCAGTATGTGTGCGTGTGTGTGCGTGTGAGTAAAAAAAGGGTCACGGCCTGCCCATCTACTCTTCTTTCACATAACACTTCATTGTCCCTCACTATCCTGAAAGAGACCGTCGGCCCCACCAGCCGCATCCTTTCAAACAGCTGCAGGCCCGTTGCCATGGATACGCCTCAGTAGGCAGTAACTGCTTCCCACATCAGACAAGAGCAGACAGCTGGTTTTATGTGCGGCGTGAGTGTTTGTGTCTCTGAGTGACACACGGCAAGAAAGTGAAGAGCGACTGAAAGAAGAAACAAGTAAAGTCTGACAGCATGAAGGTGTAAATGATGATGGGATCGTGCGTGTGAGGCACTAAAGTTATTTTCCAGGTTTACACTCGTTCCTTTGGAGCTCTTCTTTTAATTTAAAGAGGCAAAGCTGTTGTGGGAATTTATTAATTTGACTATTTGAGATGAAAATGAAACACTCCTTTTTTGACTTTTTTTGTCATTTTTACCTTTATTATTATTATTAATAATGTTTTTGTTTGTGGGCAGCACGGTGGCACAACTGGTAGAGCTGCTGCCTCTCAGCGAGCAGGTCCCTGGTTCAAACCCCGGTCCAGGGGCCTTCTGGGTGGCGTTTGCATGTTCTCTCCGTGCATGCGTGGGTTTTCTCCGGGTGCTCCGGTTTCCTCCCACAGCCCAAAAACATGCATGTTGGGCTGATTGGTAACTCTAAATTGTCCCTAGGTGTGAGTGAGAGAGTAAATGTTTGTTTGTCTCGTTTGTCTCTATGTGTCCCTGTGATGGACTTGCGACCCGTCCAGGGTGTACCCCGCCCCTCGTACAGTGATTGCTGGACATGGGCACCGGCGACCCCCGTGACCCAAAATGGAATAAGCAGGTAAAGATAATGGATGGATGGATGGATGTTTTTGTTTGTGTCTGTGAGTGCATTTGCACTGTTAATAAAATATCTCATGAACCAGTGCATGTAATTTAATGACACTCTCAGAAAGTAATCATATATAACTGATTAACTGAATTTAAAAAAAAAATTTTATTTCAATTTTTTTATTAACATTTTTTTCCTCCTCTGGCTCTCGCTCAAGACAAACTCATCTGCTCTCCCTCCCCCTGTTCTCCTCTTCCTCCTGCTTTTGCTCTCTGTGTGTCTTTTAGCTCCCTGGTATACATCTTCCGAACGAAAAATACTATTATGGATGAGCTGGACTTTAAACGCAATCGAGAAAATATTTTCAACAAAACAACAGGGTTCTGGAGAACCCTCTTGTCCGGCTGAGACTCACGCTGTGGGGTACATCAGAGATCCGTGGAGAGTTTGGCAGCTGATGTGTCTGTCATTTCTGTTGCAGGAGGACGCTGAAGACGTTTATATATTTGCAGTTATGATAGCAGGGTTGCTCCTTGGCATTGGCGGGGTTCTGTTTTGTCAACTTTTGAAGAAGACATTGGCAGCAGTTTCTGCCATGGCAAAGCTTCCGAGTCCGTGTGAACGATTGGTTCATGCTAGGAGTACTCAAAATCAGCTGATTAACGAGCTAAACCGTAAGATGGAGGCGAATTGTGAGAATCACAGGCCACCTGCGTCTTCTAGTACTTGCCAGCATGTTGGGATCGACCTTGAGGAAAGCTCATAACATGGATCAGTGGAGGGAAATACCCATAAATATGGTCATTTTGGATAGAGAACGTTCCAACAGGACTCAAGGCTGACAAGAAAAAAAAACAGTGTCTAAAGAAAATCAACAATTGTGGCTTATCTGAATTTGAACTCCCCCCTGTTTGGCCTCGGATACAAGCCGACTATCAAAATTCTCCTGGG